AATAAAAAGGTACTACACACTACCCTGTAAGGACAGAGTCATCTTTTTCATTCCCTAACCTGTTTTATGGATCTTCATGCATAGAATTAGTAGTGGAAATCATTATATAATTTAACTTGAAGGAGAGGATCAAGTGTGATGGTTTTCATCATTAGAGCCTGTAGCAATAATAGCAACTAGATTTCTAAGGAACAGAATTTAAAATCACTGGGTTTATAAGCTTCACGGAATGTAATTTAACTAGCATAGCATCATAGAATGGTGTGAATTGGAAGGGAACTTAAGGACAATCTCATTCCAACCCTCTGCCATGGGCAGGGACACCTTCCACTTGATCAGATTGCTCCAAGCCCTGTCCAACCTGTTCTTGAACTTTTCCAGGGAGGGTGCAACCACAGCTTCACTGGGCAACCTGTGCCAGTGCCTCACCACCATCACAGGGCAGAATTTCTTTCTAATATCCAATCCAAACCTGCCCTCATTCAGCTTAAGGCCATTCCCCCTAGTCCAATCACTCCATGCCCTTGTGAAAAGTCTCTCTCCAGCCTTCTGGAAGGTGCTATAAGGTCTCTCTGAAGCCTTCCCTACTCCAGGCTTATAGTCACTAAATATGTTTTATTCAGTAATAGCCAAACTACTATCCAAATAGTTGACATAATTAAATTCTAGAATTAATTTTATCATTCAATCTTATTACTAGAAGGAAAACACAGCAAAAAGACATGGTAGTGTTACAGAAGGACTCTCTTCTCATGGCTGGAAAAACGAGGAGCTATTCAATAATGAATACTCTTTGATTCACAGTTTCCCTGTCCAGACTGTGATTTAATCATATGATAAAGTATAAATAATGAACTATTTGGCAAAGAAATGACCAAGGGTAACAGTAAAAAAAGCAGAGAAAAGAAGGACTTGACTCTTTGACTAAGGAGTGGATACTAGAGCATCTGAAATAGTAACAGGTTGGAATAGCTGTTCCTGAAAACAGGAATGATGCAGAACATCATTAAACAGTAAATAGGTGATCTGTCACCTGGACTGAGACACATTTATGTACACATAGAGCTCCTTACACATGCACAGGTGTCTCAAAATGCCCAGAGCTCTTTCTGGATGAACTAAATGAGTGAATGAAACTCCTCCAAGGACAAAAGGATAAATCATAACCACCAACCTGACTGAGACCAAAACGCATTATGTTTCCATCACTGAAACATTAGAGTTGAGCAGAATGCAAATTTTCATGTATACACATCTTAGAAATTCACCTCCTCATCCAGCCTCAATTAACACTTCCTCAGTTGGCTCTGCCAGGAAAAAAAAGGTGCCAATTTGGAAGATTTATTGCAGGAGAAACTGACTGAACTATCACACTGGTCCCCAGCAAAGGACCCCAAACTGTATCCTCTTCCTTGGAAGCTGCAGCAATTGCCTCAGAGTATTTACAAAGGATTTGCTAAACATAAATCTGCTTAAGGCAGATCATCATTCATGAGGAAGACAATGAGCCACCCATATCTAAATCCCAGCACTGCATCCATTCATTCCTTGCAAAGTTAACTAGCCAAAATAGCAAAGATATGAATATTCCTAAGAGATAATTTGTTCTTCACCTCTTGACACCTACCATTGTCCAGCAATGCTGGCCCAACTTCCCCCAGAAAGAATGTTCCATGGACACAAACTGACCCTGTGACACAGATTAAACTGAGGTCTCATTTAAATTTCTTTGATTTAAAGCCAACAAAATCTTCAAAACATGCAAACTCCTATTTTATTATGTCAATTACAATATTTTGCCACCCACACATATACTTAGAGGGGATGTGGAAGCTTGTTAAAACTAGTCAGCCCAGAGAGACTGGAATGAAGGTTGAAAAGGACACACACACATACACACAGGAATTGAGATTTCTCCAGGCAAAGGAGAGGGGAATAAGTAGCTTTGTACCTATCAATTAAGTCTTGCAGGATCTTGGAAAGTCAGGGTAGGCAATTGTCCACTACCCTCAGAAAAGGCCTTGAGGTAGTGATGCTATTTCACAAAATCTCATTAAATCTTGCAAGAATGCAGACTGTCATTACATTTTACACACAGTACAGCCAAACCATTCAAATTCCTTCAGTATTCCTTCTTAAATAAAATCCAGGCAATTATTTCAGACAGTGTTTGTCACACGAGCTTGGAATGACCTCATCCTAATTAACTGCCGGTAAGGAAGCCTCGTGTGCCCAGGAAAATCAGCCATAAAGCCTGTGCCAAGCTCCAAGCTTTGCAACACTCCTTGGGTTTTCACAGTGTCAGCTTTTCCCTCTGCCCCCAGCAACCACACCCAGCTCAGACTAAGTGTGAAAATGCAGATCTGGCCAGTGCCGGGTACTGAAACCCATTCTTCCTGCATGAGACATGACAACTGTTCAATTAAATTAATGATTATTACAGGGAAAAACATGTAACTGCCTGAGGAAGGATTTAAATAGCTTTTGTCAAACCTACAATCTTTACACAGCCCTTGTTGAGAAGTCAGTGGGAATTGGTGGAGTAAAATACAGCTAATTATCACTATTTTTCTTGACAAATATGCAGTGTAAATGTGAGCATGCCCAAAAGGCTGACCCAGACAGCCCTCGTTCCTGTCTGATCACTCCAAAAATCCACTGAGCACTAGCTGATCTAACACATTCACACTATGAATTGGTCTTGTAATAAATTACTTGGTTACAGGACTCAAAGGTGTACTAAAGTTTTCAGACAACACTAAACTGGGAGGAGCTGTTGACTTCCTCGAAGGCAGAGAGGCCCTGCAGAGACCTTGGCAACTCTGAGGGCTGGGAAATCACCAGCTGTATGAAGTTTAACAAGGGCATGTGCAGGATGCTGGGACAAGGCAGCCTTGGATGTACATACAGACTGGGGACAGGGGGTTCACTCTCACCAGATGGAATGCCAGTATCAGCATTTGAACACTGCATGTCTTTTTTTTGTATGTTAACCTTTTCAATGGGCGTTTTTAACCTGTTTCGGGTAATAAAAGCTACAAAGGGATACTAACTAACTGTTCACAGCTTACAAAGTACATCCTATGTAGCAAACATTACTTGCAGTTGCCCATCTGACCAAGAGATGGTACTATGGGTATGCACAGCCATTACAAGGCAGTGCTGATGGGATCAATATCTGCTTGTGTTGAAACCACTCTGATTTAGAGGGTCATAAACACATCTATATACTGCAAAGGTGCATTTAAGAACACTGATCATACAAAGAAAGTCACAAGCTTGAGCACAATCAATTGGTTTACAATTTTCAAACACTTAAAGAGCACAAATCAGTCATCATATACTATGTTTAGCCCTTCAGATAAAAACCAAGTTCAAGAAATGCTAAAATCACACATATTTGACATTGAAAACTGTATGTTGACACGAATGGAATTTACTGGAAGATCTCCCCAATGTTCTTAGACTGTGTTTCCTGATTTCTGCAATCTGGTGATTTCCACACCTCGTAACAAAAGTCAAAGCTGTCTAAGCTTACATAAGGCAGCAGCATGTCCTTGCCACAAAGAAGAGAATGATATTCTGGGGTGCCTTAGGTAGAGAATTGCCAGTAGGTCAAGAGAGGTGATCCTTTCCTTTATTCAGCACTGGTGAGGCCACACCTGGAGGGCTGTGCCCAGAACTAAGCTTATCACTATAAGAAACATGGACATACTGGAGAGAGGCCAGCAAAGGGCCAGAGAGATTATGAAGGTTCAGAGAGCACCTCACATATGGGGAAAGGCTGACAGAGCTGGGACTGTTGGGGGTTGGACAAGATGACCTCCAAGGTCCCTTCCAGCCTCAACCACTCTGCAATTCTGTGAAAGTGAATCTGTATAAGTCAGGCTGTGCTGTAAAGACTAAAACTTGGAGTGTTTGTATTTAGCTTAAATGACACATATAAGCTAGCAATTGTATAGTAAAACACCAAGATCTCTGGAATATATCATGCAGCAACTATCTATTATAAATCCAAATCTCCTTCTGGAATGGCTACAGCTATTTCTGAATGCATCACTGCTTATGTAAGATATGGGTCCCTTTTCCCTATTGTATATGTGCCTACATTGATCTCTACTTTCTATTGTATGTCCTGATCATTCAATAACTTCAGATTCGTCTACAGCTTTTCCAAAACTGCCTCCCTCCTTTTTACTACGCAGAATAACTGAGCAAGCTCTGCCACTTCACATCTTTTAATTGGCTTCTCGGATACTTCTTGAACTTATGGAAGATCACAGGTTTCTGCCAAACTAGTGGTGACTCACTCCACAGTGAAAGATGTGTATTTCTACTTTCTTACTTCCTGTCTTTTGACCAATTATTTATTAACCCAGTGATGTTCTTTTTCCATTACAGCAACTTTAACAATGTATTTAGTCCAAGTCTCCAGTGCAATATTTTTTAATTATGCTAGAGAAATTCTACTTTTTTTAGTTATTGCTTTTAACATGTTTCCTCATTTTGAAGTGGTTTCACTTCTTTGAATTAGGCATAAGGGCAATGGATGCACTGCCTCTTTTTTTTTAACTCCTTACAGAGTTTAGGATCTAAGCAGCTTAGGGTCAGTGTTGGAGAGCAGCTTTCCAACACTCATATTTGAGGTGCATTCTGTGCATTCTTTACTGCCATGTTAAGATTTGCATTTCCCTCTCTGGGGTCCCCAAGGCACAGCTTCTTGAAGAAATTGCCACTGGCTGCCTCTAAGTGCTTTGCATCCTGCTGTGGAATTGAACCACATCTGTAGGGTGTCTTTAGTGTGGTCTGAGAGATAAAAGAGTCCAACGGGAGGCCAAGAAGATAAGCTGGAGAGGTGGCAACACCATGTCCCACCCTGTATGAAGAAATCAAGCAAACAACCTTGCAAGTGGAGAGCTTTTAAAGAAAGCTGGAGGAAGGAGCCATTGCCCACCACAGCAAGCAAAGGCTGAAGACTTTCACGGTACAGGGAAAGCACCATGGGCCAAGGTAAGCAAAAATCACTTAGGTTAGTCTCAAGCATTTGTCAGTTAAGTGTCAGGAAAAAACAACTGTTCTTGCTCCAAGACAGTGTTCATGAGGCTTCTAGAAGAGCTGAGCTCACAGGGCAGGAGCCAAGACAGTGCTCTAAGGGCTAAGGGAGGTCAATTTCCATGGCAGACTGCACAAAAAGGCACAGCAAACAAAAGCTGGTATTGATGTCTAAGAGGAGGCTGAGAGAAGCAGCAAGAAGCAGCTAATGCAGACAGGTGAGAGTTTGGAAGCAAAGGCAAAAGGGGTAGCCTCAATGTAGGGAATGGGCAGCAGGGGGTAGGGGGAGGTGAGCCAGACTACACAACTGAAGCAGAGACATGACTAAGTGTTTTAGCCACTGGAGTAGGGAGAGGGTCCAGGTTCCAAAGCAACCTTGAAGAAAGTGACAGTAAGATCCATGAAAAGGCATATGAAGAAGGAGCCAGATCCCATATTACTGACTAGTCTACAAGACACCCAGAACAGACATCTTCATCACAGAGAAGAAAATATATGAGTTCAGAACTGGCTCCATAAAGCTGGAACTGGTGCAGGGCTGTGAACCGGGATCAGCCATGAAGGGATTTGAAAGCCAGACCAGAATTATTCACTGAAAAACACACACACAGAGTTCTGGGTGTGGGATTGGCAACTAATGTGGTGCAAAGAAGAAAACAGGTGTTTGATTTGCTGTGATCCTCCACAGCTGCAGGACTACACAGCAACATGTTTTTTGAACCAGCAGTGAAGTGTGCACCAGTCACACTTAATGATGTAAGGTATAGGCAAAGGCAGCTCATTAGACATTTGACACCAGAACAAGCTCAGAGTGAAGACCCCTACAGTTACTGGGCAGAAAGTCGCAAAGGCAGGGGGGAATGTCTGAGTGGAGAAATGCTTGATCAGCTGTTTGTGTGGCTCAGAATGTGGATCAGGGCCAGAGTGCAGGCAGCTCACAGCCCCAAACTCACTCTGTATCTTCTCACACTACAGGTCTAAGCTTCAAAAAATGTGATTTCAAGATCCCAATGAACAACAGTAACCACCACACTGAAGAAATCAGCACTGAAAGGCTTATGGTGAGACGGGGGCAGCCATTCACCATCACTGTGAGATTCTCAGCTCCAATACACAACTACCTGCAGCAGATGAAGAAGACCTTCCTCATTGTACAGACAGGTAACATCATTACCAAACCTATCAGAGCTCTGGTCCTCCACATTCCTGAAGAACAGAGCTGGTGGCAAAAGCCATCTCTGGAGCTGGACAGAGGTGCCCACATTTAGGTGTGAGGCCAGTGAACTGTTTATCTAAGGCAGAGTCTCCTGCTGAGGCAGCTGCAGGGTCACAACTAGATCTCTTCCAGAAGAGACACTGCAGCACAATAACCAATACAAGTTCACTAGTCTATGATTCGAAAGTACTCACAGGATCTCTCCTGGCTTTTGGTTTAGGAATGTTCAAATTTAGCTAGCCCGTTAGAGATGCTTCCTCTTACAGAGTGTTTTCTAGTGAGACCCCTGAGAAGGGCAGTAATATTCAGCCCCAGCTTATTTTACCATAACATGAGCATTTGGCTGTGGCTTTTGTTACAAGGCATTGAATTCCAGGAGCAGCAGGTCTGCACCATTCTGGCTGTGCCTGGTTTCTACAAATCTATGAAACACACATCTCGCTTTCAAACACGGAGGCCTGACTGCAACACTAGGCTTAGGAAGATTCATTGGGCATTAAGCTGCTAAAGTGTTAAGACTCTCTGGCAAGGAGAGCTACAGCTTCAGAGACAAAGTCCCTCAGTCTGCACAGGTGAGGAATAAACACAATGCATTGAATAAACATAAGCAGATCTCTTTGACTGCAGGATCACATCCTTGCAAAGCAGATGGAACCCAGACTGAATTTCCCATCTCCAGCCTGGGAGACCAGAAGCAGTGGAGTGCAACACTGGAAGAACAGGACCTGTGCTCCTGGACCCTCACTGTGAACACACCTGCCAATGCTCCCATTGGCCATTACACTCTGCATTTACGTGTCCCCAAATCTTCCTACTTTCTGGGCGAATTCACCCTACTCTTTAATCCCTGGTGCCAAGGTATGTGGTCAGAAACAGAAAGGAAGGCTGGGGTCAGTCACTTCATAAAAACAGCTTTTGAGCTCTGGCACTTTGCCTCCAAGGAGGTTGAGGCTGACTCACCTAGTGCTCCCTGCCACTCCTGCCCTGCTCCTCACAGCACCTTAGGAGAGAGGTAGGGGCTAATAAGGCTCAAAGCTCTAAGACTCAGCACTTCTGTCCCATTCCTGGAGTACACTGCCAGAGCCCTGTCCTTCTGCTATATGAAAAATGTTTGATTAAGTGTTTCCTATAATAACAATTTTAAGCTGAGTCAAGATTGTAATTGGTCTGATTAGGGCCTCTGTACCTTTCTTAGTATGAGAGAAGCTACCAGCCAGGACAGTAGAAGAGCCAGCTAGTACCATAGCCTAGGTCTGGAGGAACTTTTTGAACAAGGAAACAGATGACAATGAAATTCTTCTTTCCTGTCAGATTCACAATCTGTGGTATTTTTCAGAGCAGAATGCTGGGGACTCCCAAAGTCCTCGGAGTGCAGTGGAGTCTGTTGATGTAGAGATGCAAGTGCATCTGATACCAGGAATGCTTTCTCTCTGATGCTTTTTTTCTCTAATCTAGATGATGAGGTGTTCTTGCCTAATGAGGCACAGCGGCAGGAGTATGTTTTAAACCAAGAAGGTATCATCTACTGGGGGACTGAAAATGCAGTCCTAACACAACCCTGGGACTTTAGTCAGGTAAGCAAGAGGTACAATATGTCAGTGCTCTCTTACAGCCACCAGCACAGGAAGGGTGCATATATCCTATGTGTACAGGATGCTAACCATCTCCATGCTGTGGCTCTGGTGAAAGACCTTGCTCTTTGCACTCACTGCCCTTGTCTAAGACTGTCCAGGAGAACAGGGACCTTTGTATGAAGGCCCATAACCCAGTATATGTAACTTTAGCTCCCTTCTCAGGCTGTCCTTTATGAAGAAATGCATAGATCTGCATCTGAGCTTTGTGTGCCTTCCTTTCATCAACAGGTATTAAAGCATTTAACAGAGCTTAGTAATACTGTCTCTGTATTACAGGTAAAATGAGGACAAGTAGATCTTTCAATTTGCCCAAGGCCATGTGACACAGCCAGTGATTAGAACAGGGTTTCATTCCACTTTAGTGCCATAAGATCATGAAAGTATCTCTGTGCCAACCTAGAGAATGCTCTAGAACAGCATCAATTTCCCACAATTAGGGGATGCAGTATCATGCTAATGCATTTCCCACCTTCAATAAAACTGGAGGTCTGTCTTCAGTATGTTGTGCTCCTCCTCCAAACCTCTGCCTGGTGCTCTCCTCCACAGCCCATTTATATAAGACTATCAGCAGAAAGAGAGAAATAATCTGCACCATTACAAACCCTTGTACGGACTCAAGAGAACAAAAGTTCAGGCCAAATTTCCTGAAATGGTGTGTTCCTGTTGCAGTTTGAGAAGGATATTGTTGACATCTGCTTCAGACTGCTGGATGTAGGTGAATACTATCAACGAGTCAAGGATCTCACCCAGCGCAAGAATCCCGTCCACGTCTGCCGCACAGTTGCTGCCATGGTAAGGAGAGCAGACAGCAGCTCAGACCTTAGCAGGGCACATCTTTTCACTCCCAGTTTATGGCAGCCCAGTAACCAAAGGGGAAGCCTGTCCAGGGCTCTTCCAAACACTACATCCTGCCCATCACCAGCCCATCCTGATATTCCTGCAGCAGACAAGTAGAGATGCAGGAGTACACTTACTGAATAAATCTCAGGGGAGACTGCTGCACCTGTTCTGCTCAGCAATGAGCTTCATGCTTTGCACAAAAAAATCCTATTGGTTTCATCTGCTTTGGGAGTAGCTTCTTCAAAGAGGATCAGGTGGACCTACTGAAGAGACAATTTCTTAATCCATCTTTCTCTCCTCCTTCCCTGCAGCTGAACTGCAATGAATTTAAAAGAATCCTGACAGAATGTGAGTCTGGGCAGTACTACAATGGGACACCCCCTTCCAAGTGGCTGGGAAGCAGCCCCATCCTCCGGCAGTGGCTTGCATCGCGGTGCCAGCCTGTCCGCTACGGGCAGTGCTGGGTGTTCGCCGCCGTCATGTGTTCAGGTACTCTGGTGGTTCCAAGACTTTTGTGTTGAGCAAAGCCTTGTTTGGTCTGCAGAACCTCTAGCATATGCCTCATTTCCTGGATTAACACAGATCACAGTAACATAGCCTTTCATCTTTAGGTGAGAGCAGATCCTCAAGAGTTTTCTCATCGACACTCAGCATCGCTAGCTTTGAGATAAGAGTATCAGTACATCCATTCACCGAATGTACCTGTGAGAGTTTATATTCTGAGGAGGCAATGCCTCTTGCAAAGTACAAACAGCAGTCCTCATGCCATTCCTAATAGGCCTAGCACCAAAAAAGGCTCTACATCCATCAGCAGAGGCACCCTTAGGGCAGGATGCACAACTGATTCACGGCTCTTTCTTCTGCAGTTCTGAGGTGCCTTGGAATTCCCACCAGGGTGGTCACTGGCTTTACATGGGCTCACAACACTAACAGCAGCCTGAGTGTGGATGAGTACTATGATGAAAACGGGACACTGCTTACACGGGACAGAAGTGCTCGTGTCTGGTAAGAAAACACAACAGGGCCCAAGGAAGAATTTGAGACAATACCTGGATGTAGGAAGTGATAAACGGGGAAAAGAAAGAGACAAACAGCTGCAGGAAGGTGGATAGGAGACAGCTCAGCTAAAATCCTGTCTACATGACCTGTTCTTGGTAAATTGTCACAAACCAAACTGAAGAGTGCCCTAATATATTATATATATTTATATTCCACAAAGGAAGAATGATAGCCCATTCCAGCTGGAGAAATACCACTTGTATTGAAACCCATCATCTCTGCTCTCCTCAATGTGCACTGTGCTCTTTCAAAGGAGCATTAACTGTCTTGTAGTTTGGCTAAAACTTTACTGTACCTCAGGGTTCAGACCCTTGGTATAAGCTGTATTGTCTCTTGCAGGACCTTCCACGTTTGGAATGAATGCTGGATGGCTCGAGCAGACCTGAGGCCAGAGTACAGCGGGTGGCAGGCACTGGATGCCACCTGCCAGGAAAAGAGCACAGGTAAGGTATCAGAGAACAACTTGAGCAAGAGCAGGGGGGAAGTGGAGTGGGGAGCAAATAAGTAGTTCAATATTCCTCCCTTCCTCAGCTTCCAATGGAATGATGTAAAGGTCAGGGACTCACCCTGTAGACTTTAGGCACTAAATCATTATTCATCTGCTTGGTTTGTGCAGCTTGCATAGATCTAAGAGCTGGATCACAGCACTGCTCCCTAATGTCCTGCTAAACTAGGTACTCCATTACTCCCAGTATAAGTCTCGATCAGGGACATTACTCCCAGTATAAGTCTCGATCAGGGATGAGTTTAGTTGGTAAAGCATCTGTATCTTAACTGGGACACATTTTCTCTTCAGGTCCATCCTTCTGTGGGCCAGCCCCTGTTCACGCCATCAAGGAAGGGGACACAGAGGTTGATTATGATGTCTGCTACTTCTTTGCTGCCATCAATGCCAAGTGTCAGATCTGGATACAAAACCCAGGTGACATCCTCAAACCAGCTCTTGGTGGCACAAAGTACACAGGTAACAACATCACCACCAAGAGTGTTGGCAGCGAGCGCTGTGAGGACATCACGCACAACTACAAGTATCCTGAAGGTAAGGGGTAGGCAAGTGGCTGAGTGCAAGTGAAAAGGAAAAGACTAGAGCAGAGCCAAACCAGAGAACCAGCATCATCCACTTCTCACTAGCTTCCCTCCTTCCATGACATGAGAACACCTAACTCCTGCTGTCTACAGAATCAAAGCAAAGGTCATAGCCCAAATTTCATCCTGCTTAATTGCATTAACCAGAACTCTAGAAGGCTGGTCATTTCTTCACCAGCACTTTGATGTCTGGAAAACCTTTTTCTGATTTCTGTTACCTATATACTCTGTACATTGACCTCCCATTACCTCTGTAATATATATAGGTAGATCTATTTCAGGCTCCACCTTTCTGAAAAGACTGTTATGCTCTGATATTGCCTAATTCCCTCCCTCAAAAAGTAGCTCTCCCTTCAGAAGCTAATACTGAGTGCTCTTTCCCACCATTTTATTTAGCCTGCAGCATGTTGTCCCCTTGGCTGTAGGAGACAACTGCAGCTTCTCTGCACAAGGCACATAGTGCTGTGCCTTAGCTACAGCAATAGTTAGAGGCAAATGCCTCCTTTACTCTGACAGATGTTAGCACCAAGGTGGTTCAGAAATGATGACAACTCTTCCCAAGCAGAATCCTTCAGGTACATCCAAAGAATCTCTTGTCAGCTGAAACTGTTGGAACTACTCCAATCAAAAACACAACAGGATATCTCTGTATGCTCTTACTTATCTGCAGTACTGCCAGGATAAATCAATGCCATTCTTCTGCACCTGCTGCTTCACATGAGTAAACAGAAAAGAATACTAAAACATGTGCTCCCTTTTTGTGACAGGTTCTCTCCAGGAAAAACAAGTACTTAACAAAGCCTATGAAAAGATAAAGAATCTTGAGACAACCAGCAGAAGCAGCATAACAGAGTTTAGCTCCATTCCCACTGCCCTTGAAGAGCCAGTCAACCTTTTCATCCAGCTCCAGTCAAATAGTTCTCTGCAACTGGGACAAGATATTCCACTTTCCATTGAAATATTTAACCACAGTGGTGAAGAAAAGGCAACTCACCTGGTAGTTGGGGTCCAGTCGCTACATTATAATGGTGTGCCCATTACTCAATTTTGGAAGGAAGAGTTTCATTTTAACCTCAACAGCAATGAAGGTACTGACTCTGTTGGGTGCATGGCTGGAAACGTGTATCTAGTCCTCTGACTTCAGGAAAAATGCTCTTTACATTACAAAAGTTTGACTGAAGAGTTGAGTGTAGGTGATTGCCCAGAGAGGTTGTGGAGCCTCCCTCACTGGAGATACTCAAGAACCATCTGGATGCAATCCTGTGCCATGTGCTCTTAGATGACCCTGCTTGAGCAGGGAAGTTGGACCAAATGACTCACTGTGGTCCCTTCCAACCTGACCCATTGTGTAATTCTGTGAAATAAAACACTTTGGCAACATCACCTTAGACATTTTCAACCTGCAAATCCAGTTGGGATAATTTAAGTGTTGAAATGCTGCAGCTTTTAGTACAGTGTTGGGCACTAAACCTAGTGTGTCATGCAGGCAAAGACCAGGCTGTACTGATCATCTGCATTGTCATCTGTTATTTCACTATTCTATTTCAGTCAACAGGCTGCAGGTCTTTGTGCCTTACTCACTGTACAGAGGAGAGCTGGGAGAGCATCACCTGTTGAGGCTGACTGCTGTGCTTAGAGACAAGGACTCCTACACATACTTCGCACAGGAAGAGATCAGCATTTGTGATCCCCCTCTCACTATTGAGGTTAGCTGGGGCTATCATTCTGTTACTGCAGTAGGGGCAAACCAGCTTCAATAGTCACAAGCAGCAAACCAGTTCTGCTGGGTTCAGTGGCTCTTCTCATGCTGTGTTCTTTCAAAGCACTGAGACATCAGTTTGGGAAAGGTGAGCTGTGCCTCTGTTGCATACAGTACTCTCACTTCTACTTTTTCATGTGTGTGTATAAGGAGATCCTGGTGACTCCTAACTCCCTAACTAGTCTGGAAATCAGAGACTGCAGAAGAAAACTAGACCAGAAGAAATTAAGTCAGATTTTGCCTCTTCTGGCAACTGGCAGCTCAGGTTGAGACCTTTGGCACCAAAAAATCATACATCTCTCTTTAATCATCGAAGAACCTCTTTCCTTCTCTCAGTTTCAGCTCACTTCCTTCTTTCAACAGTTTCCAGAAAACATAGTACAGTATCAACCAAGCACCACAAAGATCAGCCTCCTGAACCCTCTCACCGAACCCCTGGAGAAGTGTGTGGTGGCAGTTGCAGGGCGAGGGCTCATTCACAGACAAAGGAAGTATAGGTAAGTGCAAACTGGTTGATCTAAGAACAGCTAATGACAAAAGAGACACAATACAAGCAGGAGAAACCCAGCAGAGGAAAGGCTGTCCCTAAAAATAAGCTGTCAATAACACAGCAGGAAGATACTGCTATGGCATGAAAGCCCCAGGCATCCCATCCTTTATTTACAGATAATACAGAAGATTTTCCACACTGAAAAGGAGCAAAGCTAGCTAACAGAGCTTTCAACAGATGTGTAATACATAAGCTGAAGTCAACATGGCATCTGTGAAAGCTTCAACCCAAAAGGCCTAGGCAGCAGCAGAAAAGCCCCTGCCAACAAAAGGATTACCAGAGAAGTACCACAAGGCTTAGTCAGAAACACACATTAAATAAGACAACAGTTAGAGGTCACTGAAGTGAGCCATGAAATGTAGAAATTATTTGCTGTTGAGAAATCAATTACTTTCTATTGAGCCACCTGAACATCCATAAGTGGAGTGAAACTATATGGTTTGTAACACAGCTTTGCACCTATTACTCACTGGAAGCAATAAAAACAGTCTCTGGGTACAATTTTAATAGTGTCTTCTCCTTCTCTACTGGAAGAACCAAGCAAATGTAACTTAGCCAAGAGTCATCCAAAAAGACATGCTCTCCTTCACATGAAAAACACCCCACATTCCTCTCAAGAAGCTGCGTTAGGGCAAAGTCACTTTAGACTCCCCTATGGGGAGTTTCAGCTCTCCTGGCCTATCTCCCTCCCAGACTACTGTCAGATGACAATCCCATTGTGGTACTCAGGTAACTGCTAGCTTTCTTCTGTTTCTTTTTTTTCCCCCTTTTCTTTCTTTTCCTTTTTTTGTTTTTTTTTTTTTTTTTGGCACCACACTCCTATCTAGCAAATGCATCTCCTAGGCCTGGAGAACTAGAAATACAAAGAGGTGTGATTCCTGTATAATTCCTTCTCCCCTTTCAGGTTGGGCTCTGTGGAAGCTAAAAGCACCCAACAGCTGCAAATCCCATTCACCCCCATTCAAGCAGGGCCCAGAAGACTCACTGCATGTCTTAACTGCCCTCAACTCCAGAACTTGAAGAGCTACAGAACTATCAACATTGCAGCTGCCTGAGGCCCAACTTAGACCAGGTTCTGCTGTCCTGTTCACAAAAGAGTGGTCATGATCTGTGCCCTGATCTTAGGCAAGCATGAATGTTATGTTTAATAAAAGTTATATTTAGAGCCATGTCTGATTCTGATTATTTGTAAAAACTCAGCTCTCTCCCATCTCCCACCACGCCCACTCCTCAGTTATAGAAGTTGAACCTTACTGAGAAAAATATGGGCTGAATGCAGTAGCAGACACTGCATTTCTCATCACACACATGTGCTAAACCCACCACTGCTTGGTCATTTTCCCTACCTGTGACAAAAAAGGATATCCTAGAACTTTCAAGTGATGACAGATGTAACATTTTTCTAGTGATATGCTCTTATCCCCCTGCAGATCCTTGGCATTGGTAAAGTAGTAAACAGTATTTTCTGCTGCTTTCTGAGGAAATAGAAAAGAGAAAGCTCTTCCACAACTCTCCAAGGTTAGACAGAAAAGAGCAACAGCTTATTTACAATGGTTCATTGGGCTGCTTGCCAAACAAGCAAGACCCTTTCCTTCTGTATATATCCTCTGTCCCCTGAAGACAGATGAAGCAACTAATGCAAATCTAGCAATATTTTATTGTTCTTGGAACCCCACAGTAGTCGGAATGTCTGAAGAATGGGGCACATTCGCAGCATTAAGGTGCAGCACCACATCATACCAAGAATCCAAGCAAAGGGGCACCTTCTGCAATGGCAAAGAGCAACTTCCTGGAAAAGTTTTACCAAGTGGCAGCAAAGTTTTTTCCTAAAAATACTGTTCTCATCATCCTCCCAGAAGCTGGAGAACAGTGTGATTCGCTGGAAAAGCATATGTCAGAGCCAGTGACAGCAACACATGTAGGCACAGAAGAGCTAAAGTTGACCCTGTGTGAAGTTCTTGATTTTGTTCATATTGTGATCTACTGCACCAGATAGAAACTGCACCCAGCTGTCCTCTGATGGTGGACATACATGACTTGTCCTGCAAAAGTGGAAGAAATTCATTAGGAAAGCTTCCTGGGTGTCTTAGACCTATGCATCTAGGCAACACATGGGTATTGTGAAGTGCTGAAAAACCACAGCATTAAAACAGGGCAGGTACAGCACCAGAGTGCTATGAGCAAGGAGCAACCCACATCCATGTCTGTAGTCCCAAACTTTAACACAAAAGTTTGATGACTAGCTAAGACCATAATTATTCCAAAATGCCAGCATTTACTGCCTAGATAGTCATCTTTGACAGGAGGCAGAAAGGTATCAACCTTCACAGCAGGGAACACTCACTTGTAAAACTGTAGCTCATACTCACTTTGTAATCTCTAAGACTTTCTTTAACACTGAGGCCAACTTAGCAGCCTAGAAGAAAAAAAAAGGGGAAATAAAGTGAGTGAAACATAGGGGGGAAAAAAGGGGCTCAGCAGTACTGGAAAAGACAAAGGA